CCTGTGTTCCTCTGAGAATCTGTTCAAGTATATCTGTATACTGACCCTGGCTTGTCCCTGACATTCCTCCTATATTATCTATCAATGTACCGACCCTGGCTTCGTACCTGACATCGCTTGTCTTCCTCCTGTCCTGACCTCGGCTTGCCTACTGGATCTCCTGAGTCTACTCCCATTGTACCCTGCTCCCGCTAGCGGTCTCTTCTACCTGGGGGCCGCGACCTGGTTCCAACCTGCTCCAAATCCATCCCCACCATCAGGGGCTCTGGTGAACAAGCAGACTGGGGCTTAGACTCTGTGCCCTGGGAACCCCAAGCTGTGGATTAAGAGCTCACTACCACAGGTGCTGACAGTATGTTACCACTATATAATAATACACAAAAAATAAACCACAAGCAACTTGATGGCAAATTAATAAATATGTTATGGCAAGGCATGTTAGACAATGCATGAACCAGTAGACAGGCAACTGAAGACGCTGGAACAGGCCAGACCAAATAGGATGTACACCAACCTATATAACAGCAACTAACTAAACTGCAGTAAAGTTTAATCTAATTTTAACTGGCATAAAACAGCAAGAAATGTAATGACATTAGCTGACCAAAAAATATCCTTGAGTGCACTAAGTGCATACACCCTTAATAGTTGGAGGGTGTACATGATACTGGCAGTGGGGCTCCCCTGGTAGTGGCTATAAAGTAGCTGGTACCTACTTAGTAGTACTAAGTCGGCTATTGTTGGGACCTGTTGTCAAGGTCCTACCTTTCCTCAGGGCTTGTGCTGCTCCATGTGCTGGCATCCATCTTAGATGTCTGCAAAGCATTGTTAGATCCTTTATGCTTTCAGCCCTCTGCGGCTCCTCCTCCAGGAGGTGGTGCTTATCACATTTAAGCCTGCTGTCTGCAGCTGCACATTGCATTCGTGTCCTGTCTGTTGCATTGCAACAAGCTCCTCCTGTTAGTGTCTCATTGCTCTCCTGGATACCAACTCGGTTTTTGGCAAGACTCCTTCCTGGCTTCTGACCCCGGCTCTGGCGACCATCCTTCCTGGCTACTGTCCTACCCAGTCATCCGCTGTTGCTGTTGAACTTGCATAGGCTCTGTCTTGTTTTTGTACAATAAACCTACCTTTAATTGCACCTCCTTGTGTGTCTGGCTCCTCGCTGCCTGACACTACACGAATGCCATGAATCCTGATGGTGCAGGTACGCCCTCACTTCCTATGTTGGTTGCCAGACTTGATCAGCAGGATCGCTTGTTGGATCAGTTCGCTCAGGCATTGCAAACCCTGCTTGCACGCACAACGCACCTTGCTCCTGGTGCTATTAGGCCAGTTGTCACTCCTGTGGTCGCTTCCGCGGTTGCTCCGGTTGTTGTGCCTACCTCCGCATCTGCTGCCGCACCTGCGGTGCCCAGAGGCATGACTGGTTCAGCCCCCCTTCCACAGCGCTTTGGGGGTGAGCCGAGTCAGTGTCGGGGTTTCCTTAACCAAGTGGGCATATATTTTGAATTGATACCCAACGCTTTTCCTACGGAGAGGTCAAAGGTGGGCTTCCTAATCTCGCGCTGCTCTCGGACAAGGCCTTGGCCTGGGCAAATCCCTTATGGGAGAACGATAACCCTGTGATTCACCAGTTTGCCGGTTTTGTTGCCTCCTTCCATACGGTATTCGTTGTGCCCCCTTGCTCTACCTCTGCTGCTAAGCTGCTCATGTCCATGCATCAGGGTTCATGAACCGTTGCCGAGTACGCCATAGAATTTCGTACCCTGGCGGCAGAGGTGGGTTGGAACAATGAGGCTCTGGTGGCTGCTTTCTCTCATGGTCTCTCAGATGCGTTGAAGGCTGAGATTGCAGCCAAAATAACTGCCTGTGGAGCTCGAGGTACTCATTTCCTTCGTAATCCTGATTGACACCAGGCTCAGAGAGAGGCCTTCATTTAAGGAGCGTCTGCGGAGGCCTCCTAACTGATTGGCGCCTACGTTTTCTGTCCCACCTGTGCCTCCCTCTCCTCCCACACCTTCTGGGGATGGCTTGTCTGGCGGTGAGCCCATGCAGCTGGGGTTTGCTCGCCTTTCCGAGGGGGAGCGGGCCTCTCGGCGTCGGGAGGGTCGCTGCCTATACTGTGGTCTCAGTGGGCATTTTTGCCAGTTCTGTCCAGTCCGTCCGGGAAATGCTCACACCTGAGATCCTGTCGGGGGCAGATCTTGGGTGGAGTTTCCTCGTCCCCGGTTTCCCGTAAAGATAAACCGCTAATCACTGTTAACAATAAAGATGTGATAAATATACAAATCACAAATAATAGCGCAAACCAAATCTTACAACTAAAATATAACCACCACCAAATAAGTGCATATTAATAGTGCAAACAAAATCAATAGGGAATCTCAAGATAGTCCATTCAGAAAAGTCCATATAAACATGATCCTCAGTAAATGAAGTAATGAGATCCTCCTTCACAAACAATGTGGTATTCAGTGCTCAGAAAACACCCCATCAAAATGCACACTCACCATGTGCTAGTAATTTACCAGCATGTCAGTATATATCCAGCATTCACCAAACAGGCTTCAAAGGACGATCCTCATGTGTTGGTAATTACTCAGCATACTAATATGTATCCAGCATATCACCAAACAAACTCCAGAGAAGATCCTCTCATATCCAGATTAGCACATGTGGGTAAAGAAAATACACGCCATAGTGCAATATCATCCAACAATTTATTGCCAAACAACCCCCCTTAAAATCACACTCACAATGAGCAAATAAAAACAAGGCATTTTGTTATATATTGGGGTTACCGTCCTTATGTGAACCCCCAATTGCGCCCACATCCACCTTATTACCATCAGCAAGGGGGAGTGAACTTCCCACAAGAGAGGAGACCTCTAGATATAAGAAGAGAAGAAGGAGATGCAGGGCAGGAAAACAAAGTCAGAAAAAGAAGGGAGACAGATTAAATGGTATTTATAATTTAAGTGGAGTCCAGTTGACCCATAAGGAGATAAATGTTTTAAATGCAGGCTTAAAATGTGCCATGAGGCGACCTATTAATAAGTTTGATGTCTATATATAGATACACACAGGTATATGAGGAAATTAAATATGAAAAAATATTTTTTGGGGTTGAATCTGACTAATCAAATTAGTTATGAACCAAGATGTGAAGGTGTTAATAGTGGTTTGCGAAACAAGTCTCTCTTTAAACCCAAACATTTTTATCCAAGCAACATCTGGAAGTATTTAAAGGATTGGTTTTAAGAGATTTGGAACAGGTAGTCCCTAGGAAAAATGTAAATCCAAGATATGTACAGGAGGGTATTAAAATGTTGGAAGAACGTAAAGATATCATCATACGACCGGCTGATAAGGGTGGGGGGGTAGTGGTTATGAAGAAGTCGTTAAAGTGTATCATCCATACGAACGTGACTGAGGTGGGGGTTTCGGGTAGTGGTTATGAAGAAGAGTCGTATTTCACAACCAGATTGTAGAGATGTTGTCTGATGTTAATACCTATGAAAAGTTGACTAAGGATCCTACTAATGGATATAGGGAAGAATTGAAATCCCTGGTTAATTGGGGATATAGGACAAGAGTTCTGACTAAAAAAGAAAAGCAATATTTAATCCCAAGTGTAAGTAGGATTCCTATTATTTATACCCTTCCCAAGGTCCACAAGAATAAAGAGAATCCACCAGCTTGACCTATTGTGAATGGTATTGGTTCAATATCCGCAAGATTGGGCCAATATTTGGATGTATTTTTACAATCAAGTGTGTCCTCTACTAAGGCCTACTTACGAAATACTAAAACAACTGCTCAAATTTCTCTCTGAGGTCCAGATCATGGGTCGTTCAGGATTATATTTGGTGACGGCGGATGTATCATCCCTCTATACCATTATACAGCATGATGATGCTCTCTTAGCACTGAATTGGGCTTTGAGTAAGAGGGATGACTTACCATTTAATCAAAAGAAGTTTTTGAGGGATACTTTGGAGTTTTGCTTATCTCATAATTACTTCTGGTATAATCACAGTTTTTTTTTCCCAGAAGAGGGGCTGTCAGGGCTCCAGGTATATCCAGAGGTGTGTGGACTGACACAGGGAAACGCAGGCTTCAGATATGGTATAAACAATATAATTTTTTAAGACTAACAATACAAGATGCAGTGTAAAACTAAACATAAACACAGTGCAAACAAACCAAACCAAACCACCCACAGATAACAATACATACAATGCAAGAGTCGTCAGGCAGGCCGGGTCAGTAGCAAACGGGCAAAGGGAGTACCAGGAACAGGTGGGAGAGTGGTCGGGGTCACAAGCCAGGGATCAAGCAGGAGAAGTCAGCGGAGGTCAGGATCAGGCAGGGTCGGCAACAAGTCAGACAGGAACAGGAATACAGGATACAAGATACAGGGGCCCATGGAAAAACACACACCAAGGCCCTGACTGTGAGTCTGGCCATTCCTTAAATACAACCCCCGCAATCAGCTTCAGGTGTTTGGCTGATTGCAGGGGTGAGTCTCTGATTGCTGAGAGCACCCGCTGGCCGGCCCTGGTACTGTAGCTCCCACAAGGCAGGTGACTCCCACCATTATTGGCAAGTCCATTCCTGATAGTACCCCCCCTCAAGGAGCGGCCTCAGGACGCTCCAAACAGTCCTAACTGGGCAAAATGTTCCACCACCCGGGTCCGATAACTGGCGGGATATCAAAGACTGGCACATCGGGCTGGGCACCGGACAGAGGCACATCGGGCTAGGCACCGGACAGAGGCACATCAGGCTGGGCACCGGACAGAGGCACATCGGGCTGGACACTGGATCACCAGGCGGAGCAGCGGGCACCGGGCCACCAGGCGGAGCAGCGGGCACCGGGCCATCAGGCGGAGCAGCAGGCACCGGGCCATCAGGCAGAGCAGCAGGCACCGGGCTACCAGGCAGAGCAGCAGGCACCGGGCCACCAGGCAAAGCAGCAGGCACCTGGCCACCAGGCAGGGCAGCAGGCATTGGGCCACCAGGCAGAGCAGCAGTCACCGGGCCCACCAGACAGGGCAGCGGGCACCAGGCCCCCAGGTGGAGCGGTGGGCACCGGGCCCCCAGGCGGAGCGGCAGGCACTGAGTCATCTGGCAAGACAGCGGGCACTGAGTCATCTGGCAAGACCGCAGGCACCGAGTCATCTGGCAAGACCGCGGGCACCGAGTCATCTGGCAAGACCGTGGGCACCGAGTCATCTGGCAAGACAGCGGGCCCCGAGTCACCAGGCACGACAGCGAGCTCTGAGTCAACCGGCACGACAGCGGGCTCCGCGTCAATTGGCACGACAGCGGGCACCGGGTCATCAGGTACCGGATCGTCTGGCTCGACAGTGGGCACCGGGTCATCTGGCTCGACAGTGGGCATCGGGTCACCAGGTACGACAGCGGGCACCGGGTCATCAGACAATGGATCGTCTTGCTCAACAGCGGGCACCGGGTCATCTGGCTCAACAGCGGGCATCGGGTCACCAGGCACGACAGCATCGGGACAGCGGGGCACTGGGTCATCAGGTATCGGGGGCTCGACTGGGTCATCGGGTCATCTGGCTCGACATCAGGTATCGGGTCATCTGGCTCGACAGTGGGCACCGGGTCATCTGGCTCGACAGCGGGCATCGGGTCACCAGGCATGACAGCGGGCACTGGGTCATCAGGCATTGGATCGTCTGGCTCGACAGCGGGCATCGGGTCACCAGGCGTCAGGTCAACTCGACAGCCTCGACAGCAGGCACCGAGTCATCTGGCAAGACAGTGGGCACCGAGTCACCAGGCATGACAGCGGGCACTGGGTCATCAGGCATCGGGTCATCTGGCTCGACAGTGGGCACCAGGTCATCTGGCTCGACAGTGGGCTCTGAGTCAACTGGTAGAATGGTACTGGTTGGAAAGAATTTTTGCTTTTTTCTCGTTTTAGTTACTGGAGCACTGTAAGTAAACGCAGGTCTGTAAATGAATGGAGCAGCTGAAGACAGAGAAGAGCTGGAGGATGGAACAGAGGAGGGAGCAGTTGCTACAGAGGACTTCTTTACAGGGTTAAAGAAAGGATAGGTGCAGCGAGTGGGAGCAGGGGACTGGTATGTGGTAGTTAGCAGAGTATACTGGGCCGTCACTGGGGGTGCTGTCGGGGATGCAGGAAGAGTGCCTTGAGCAGAAGGATGATGTTGCAAGCTGACTGAGGTTGGGTGCAACAAATCTGTCCATGTCTGCAGTACTGGTTGAACAAAACTCAGCTTACACATAGCCTGTCTGACCAAAGACTGCACTGCGTTTATGCAATCCATAAGCACATGTGATGGACAAACTGCATAATGCTCATGGAAGCAATCTGGATCATCCTCCAACAACCATACCAGTGATTCCACTTGATCCACACTAAATGGGGGAAAAAAGTCATTCCTGCTTTCAGGGGTACAGGACCGAGCCAACTCAGCAGAAACCTGGATCAATGGCTGCACCTCAGAAAACTCTGTGCCCTGATCTACTAGGCAATGAGCGATCCTTATACACTCTAGTAGTTGATCCCTGGGATACTCCTTTAGAGTCTGATAAGCATAGTCTTTGTCATCAAACACTAGCAGAGATAAATACACCACCTCATCAGGATCCATCCTTCCCAGCAACAATAAGCCAAGATGGCTTCCCTGTGCAGCCACTTCTGGTCAGGATGGCCTTGGTGTAATGTCAGGGCTCCAGGTATGACCAGAGGTGTGTGGACTGACACAGGGAAACGCAGGCTTCAGATACGGTATAAACAATATAATTTATTAAGACTAACAATACAAAACGCAGTGCAAAACTAAACATAAACACAGTGCAAACAAACCAAACAACCCACAGATAAGAATACATACAATTCAAGAGTCGTCAGGCAGGCCGGGTCAGTAGCAAACGGAGTACCAGGAACAGGCGGGAGAGTGGTCGGGGTCACAAGCTGGGTTCAGTAACTCACGGGCAGCGCGGTACAGAGGGTAAGGCAGAGAATGGTCAGGGTCAAAAGCCAGGGATCAAGCAGAAGTCAGCAGAGGTCGGGATCAGGCAGGGTCGGCAACAAGTCAGACAGGAACAGGAACAGGAATACAGGATACAAGATACAGGGGCCCATGGAAAAACACACACCAAGGCCCTGACTGTGAGTCTGGCCATTCCCTAAATACAACTCCCGCAATCAGCTTCAGGTGTTTGGCTGATTGCAGGGGTGAGTCTCTGATTGCTGAGAGCACCCGCTGGCCAGCCCTGGTACTGCAGCCCACAAGGCAGGTGAGTCCCACCATTATTGGCAAGTCCATTCCTGACAGGGGCATAGCAATGGGAGCTCGCTTTGCGCCCAGTATTGCAAACCTGTTCATGGCAGAATGGGAGGACAGATTTGTCTTTAACCAACAACATGAGCAGGTATTGCTGTACAAGAGATTTATAGATGATATGTTTATGATCTGGGCTGGGGATGAAGGAGGATTAGTTGGTTTCTTGGAAGGCTTGAATAATAATTCAAACAATATTAAGCTGGATTACCAATACAGCACTGAAGCAGTACATTTCTTGGATCTTACTATTTTTAGGGTGAACGATAAGCTGCTTACCAAAACGTATTTTAAGCCCACTGATAGAAACAGTTATTTGCCAATAGTTAGTGGCCATCACCCCCATTGGTTAAGGAATATCCCTAAGGGTCAGATTATGAGAGTGAGGAGGAATTGCAGTTAGGTTAGTGCATTTCGTGCTCAAGCGGATATTCTGGTTGAAAGATTTGTGGATAAGGGTTATAAGGCTGATCAACTTGAGGGCATAGCGGATCAGGTTCAGCTTATTCCCAGGGACCAGTTGCTGGCTACTAAGCCAAAACGGGTCACAGATAATAGACATCAGGGGGTTTATTTCTAATTACCATATACAATATAAGGCGGTTGAGGATATTTTCCATAAACACTGGCATGTTTTGAAGCTTGATAAGATATTAGGGAGTGTTATCCCGGAGAACTCAGTGTTTATTTATAGGATTATTTATATCACTATTGGTGATAGAATTGTTCATAAAATTTTGGATCCACCAAGGGTTCTGAATATGTTTAGTAATAAAAAAGGCTTTTATTCATGTAGGAGGTGCACTGCATGTAATGTGGTTAAACATAAATTTAGGGGATTGGTCAGATTCACCTCTAATTCTAATCGAAGGGAATTTGATATTTCCTCCTTTCTTACTTGCAATTCTACCCATGTAGTATATGGTCTAGAATGTCCTTGTGGCCATATTTACATTGGAAGGACTAAGCGACAGCTTAAGGTTAGGGTACTTGAACATATAAGGAATATTAGTAAGGGGTATAAGTACCATAGTGTATCTTTACACTTTAAGAAATATCATAATTGTGATCCAACTAATATTACATTTTTGGCCATTGAATCCGTTCCTAAAGCGTGGAGGGGTTCTAATAGAGTTAGGGAACTATCAAAATGTGAAACGAAATAAGATTTATTTGACTGAGGCTTTATCTCCTGGGGTTTAAATGTCGAACTGGACTTAAATTGTTTTATAAGTGATTATGATTGATTAATTTGTTTATGTTATATGATTTATTATATAAGTTGTATGTTCTGTTTTTTTATTGATTTATATTAATAGTATTTTAATCTTTATTGTAATGATATTTATGTATTTTTGGAACGTATTTATATAATATTTTCTGATTATTTAGTTTAATTTTGAATACATTTGTTTAATTAGATTTATATTGGTGCTATAATTAATTTTGAACACAGGATGGTGTTATTGAGATCAGGTGATCCGAAGTTCATTTAGATTGAATTCTACCTAGTGATAATGATGCACCTCAGGTTTTTTTTTGTGATTGGGCCAATTAGGAGACATTTGGGTCTATATAAGTGCTCTTTATGGAGAGCTCACCATTCCCTCGGAAGAAGTCATTGGGCGAAACGTGTTAGTGGGTGGCCTTCCTGTGACGTCACTACTCATGCTAATGCACGTGTCCGGATCACGTGATCGCACTATTACCATCTTGAATGCGGGCTGGCTGGTGAGACACAGGATGCAGAGACTGGAGCTCTGATATAACAAAACGCCTTGTTTTTATTTGCTCATTGTGAGTGTGATTTTAAGGGGGGTTTGTTTGGCAATAAATTGTTGGATGATACTGCACTATGGCGAGTATTTTCTTTACCCACATGTGCTAATCTGGATATGAGAGGATCTTCTCTGGAGTTTGTTTGGTGATATGCTGGATACATATTAGTATGCTGAGTAATTACCAACACATGAGGATCGTCCTTTGAAGCCTGTTTGGTGAATGCTGGATATATACTGACATGCTGGTAAATTACTAGCACATGGTGAGTGTGCATTTTGATGGGGTGTTTCTGAGCACTGAATACCACATTGTTTGTGAAGGAGGATCTCATTACTTCATTTACTGAGGATCATGTTTATATGGACTTTTCTGAATGGACTATCTTGAGATTCCCTATTGATTTTGTTTGCACTATTAATATGCACTTATTTGGTGGTGGTTATATTTAGTTGTGTGATTTGGTTTGCGCTATTATTTGTGATTTGTATATTTATCACATCTTTATTGTTATTTTGAGTTTTTTAATAACAGCAGCATCCAGTGAGTATATTTCATTTTTTTTACATTGGCGCAATGATGTTGGTATAATAGAAGTGTTATATTTATTGGAACATTTCTTTGGTAACTAACTTTTTAGTGATCGCTAATCACTGTTGTCCTCTCTTGGGCGGAAGGCTCGGTGACGGCCCAGGCGTTGGTAGACTCTGGTGCTGGCGGGTTTATGGACAGTTCATTTGCAGCCCAGTACTCCATTCCTCTGCAGACTCGAGTTACTCCATTGGTCCTCGAGGCAATAGATGGCAGGCCCCTGCAACCATCGCAGGTTACCCACGAGACCCTGCCGGTTGAAGTAGCCATTGGGGCTGTTCACAGGGAGTTGGCCTGTTTCCAGGTAATTTATTCCCCGCACTACTCCGTGGTTTTGGGCTATCCCTGGCTTCAGAAGCACAATCCGACCTTTGATTGGCGGTTGGCCGAGATTCTATCATGGTCTCCACAGTGTGGGGCCGGTTGCATCCGTGGACCTGTTAATGTGTTGTGTGCCTCCTCGGACTCTGTGTTGCCCACTGACTATGGGGAGTATCTGGACGTGTTTGACAAGGTGCGCGCCGGTGCCCTGCCTTCTCATCGTCCATACGATTGTGCCATAGCCTTACAACCCGGTGCCACTCCTCTGCGTGGCAGGGTGTATCCTCTTTCGGTTGCAGAGAATCAGGCCATGGAGGAGTACGTTGCAGATGCGCTTTCCCGGAGCACATTCGCAAGTCTACTTCTCCAGCAGGAGCTGGCTTTTTCTTTGTGAAAAAGAAGGGCGGTGAGTTGAGGCCTTGCATTGATTTTAGGGGCCTCAATCGAATCACGATTAAGAATGCTTACCCAATTCCGTTGATTACCGAGTTGTTTGACCGCCTCAAGGGAGCAACGGTCTTTACTAAACTCGACCTTAGGGCTGCGTACAACCTCGCACGGATCAAGGAGGGCGACGAGTCGAAGACCGCGTTCAACACCAGAACCGGCCACTATGAATCCCTGGTTATGCCCTTCGGGTTATGTAACGCGCCCGCAGTCTTTCAGGAGTTCATTTATGATGTCTTTCGTGACTTGTTGCAGCAGTGCGTGATGGTTTACTTGGACGACATCCTGGTTTACTCTGCGTCTATGCAGTTTCATATCCAGGATGTTAAGCGGGTGCTGCAACGGTTACGTGAGAACGAGCTTTTCTGTAAGTTCGAGAAGTGTGAATTTCACCGATCCCAGGTTGCCTTTTTGGGCTACATCATTTCTGCTGTGGGTTTTTCCATGGACTCTCAGAAGGTTTTGGCGGTTCTGCAGTGGCCTCGTCCCAGTGGTCTTCAGTCCATTCAGCGCTTTTTGGGATTCGCCAACTATTATCGAAAGTTTATCAGGAACTTCTCCACGCTGGCCAAGCTTCTCCCAGATCTGACCAAGAAGGGCAGTAATCCTCACGAGTGGTCACCCGAGGCCATCTTAGCTTTCGAAGCTCTGAAATGCTTTGGCTCCGATACTATTTCATCCCAATCCTGGGTTGCCCTTTGTCCTCGAGGTTGATGCATCGGAGGCGGGAGTAGGCGCCCTCTTGTCTCAGCGTTGGTCACCTGATGGACCCCTACTTCCCTGCGGGTTCTACTCCAGGAAACTTTCCTCCATAGAATGTAACTACCAGATTGGAGACAGGGAGTTGTTGGCCATTATTCAGGCTCTCAAGGAATGGAGGCACCTGCTCGAGGGTTCTGTGGTTCCGGTTCTCATTCTCACTGACCACAAGAACCTGACGTATCTCTCGGAGGCTAAGAGGTTGACGCCCCGTCAGGCCAGATGGGCTCTGTTCTTGTCAGGGCTTTGATGCCTTGTGCCTGGCGGCAAGAATCTCTGAGCTGTCCAGGGAGGACTCTGAGCCGACCTCGGTCATACCTCCGGACCAGATCCTGGCTGCCATTCATACCAACCTGACTTCTCCCCTTGGGGAGCAGATGTTGGTGGCTTAAACTGATGCTCCTCCTGAGAGACTGGCTGGCAGATGTTTCGTACCGGAGGGATTGCGTACCCGCTTGCTGCGTACCTACCATAATTCCAAGACTGCCGGTCATCCAGGGAGGAACCAGTTGTCCTGGGTCATTTCTCGGTTATTCTGGTGGCCATCTCTCCGTTCCGACATCGCCTCATATGTAGCGGCATGTTCGGTCTGTGCCCAGAATAAATCTCCTCGGCAACTTCCATTGGGCCTTCTGCAACCCATTTCCAATGGGGAGCATCCCTGGTCACACTGGGCATGGATTTTATCGTGGACCTCCCTGCGTCTCAAGGTCATACGGTCATTCTTATGGTCATTGATCGTTTTTCCAAGGTGTGCCATTGTGTTCCGTTCAAGAAATTGCCGACTGCGCAAGAACTGGCTACAGTTTTCGCCAGGGAGATCTTTCGCTTGCATGGGTTGCCCAAGGTAATTGTCTCGGACCGTGGGAGCCAGTTTGTGTCCAGGTTCTGGCGCACTTCTGCTCCCAGTTGGGTATCAAGCTCTCCTTCTCTTCAGCCTACCACCCGCAGTCCAATGGGGCTGCGGAGCGTTCCAACCAGGCCCTGGAACAATTCCTTCACTGCTATATATCAGACCATCAAGACAATTGGGTCGATCTCCTGCCATGGGCAGAGTTTGCAAGGACTCGACTGTCAACTCCTCCTTCGGGATGTCTCCCTTCATGGCCAACTATGGGTTCCAACCCGCTGTATTGCCTGAGTTGTTCTCGCCACAGGACATTCCGGCTGTGGATAACCATCTTGCTGCCCTGCGTTCCTCGTGGACTCAGCACAGCACCAGAAGCTCCAGGCTGATCGTAGACGGTTGCCCGCTCCTTCATACCAGGTCGGAGATTGGGTGTGGTTGTCCACTCATGACCTCAATCTTTGGGTGCCCGCACCGAAACTGGCTGTCCCCAATTTGTTGGTCCTTTTCGCATCCTCCGCAGGGTGAACCCGGTTGCCTATGCCCTTGCTCTTCCTCCTGGGATGCGTATTTCCAATGTCTTCCACGTATCCCTGTTGAAGCCTCTGGTCTGTAATCTCTTTACTGCCTCTCCGGCCTCGTCCTATCCGGGTTGATGGTCATGAGGAGTATGAGGTGAGCCGCATCCTAGACTCTCGGTTGGTCCGTGGTCAGGTGCAGTTCCTGGTCCATTGGCGTGGTTATGGTCCTGAGGAGCGTTCCTGGATTCCTTCCGCAGATGTTCATGCTCCTGCCCTCCTCCGCGCTTTTCACGTCCGCTTTCCCCAGAAGCCTTATGTTGAGCCGCGGAGGGGGAGGGGTCCTTGAGGAGGAGGTACTGTCAAGGTCTTACCTGTGCTGCTCCATGTGCTGGCATCCATCTTAGGTGTCTGCACAGCATTGTGGGATCCTTTATGCTTTCAGCCCTCTGTGGCTCCTCCTCCAGGAGGTGGTGGCTTATCACATTTAAGCCTGCTGTCTGCAGCTGCTCATTGCATTCGTGTCCTGTCTCATTGCTCTCGTGGATACCGACTCGGTTTTGGCAAGACTCCTTCCTGGCTTCTGACCCTGGCTCTGGCGACCATCCTTCCTGTCTACTGTCCTACCCAGTCATCCACTGTTGCTGTTGAACTTGCATAGACTCTGTCTTGTTTTTCTACAATAAACCTCCTTGTGTGTCTGGCTCCACGCTCCCTGACACCTGTCTGTAAGGTGGTGCACGGGTAGTTGTCCCTTTAAGACTGTACACAATGGATGGCCGATTGCCTGCATTAACTGTGGGCAGTAAAGGGTTAAAAACTTGGTTCTGCTTACCACTCCAGGAACACAACAAATCTGGTTCACTGTTACAAATCTGGCTCAGTGTCTTACATCTCTAATCCTCAGTGGTTCAGTCTATCTCCTCTCTTGTAGGCTCACACAGCTCCAATGTCTGCATAGCTCCGACCCCCAGCACACAGACATTATAAAGGCTCAGTCCTTATGCTCTTTGGTGTGGGCATAGACACCACAGGCAGCAGGTCCACTAGCTCTGGTCCCAACACGCAGGATTTTGGTCTTCATACAATTCAGGTCTCCCTCTGTCTTAGTGGGAGCAGAGATCCCAACAGCAACTGGTCTGCACTCTCTTGTTCCTAGTCTTGCATTGCCCAGATCTCCACAGAATTGCCTGGGCAAAGTCTTGTGCTCTCCTCCCCTCCCCCCCTGTGTGCTAGGAATCCTGGTTAGTAAAGTCCACAGCTCCATCCACAGTACTGTGCCACTCTGAGGACTACATGCCCTAGAGTCCTCAGCAGCTGCATCATCACTTGTCACTGATTAGATCTGAGCTGCTGCTACCTGGAGGGAAAGGGGAGAAGCAGGTGTAAGTGGGGGATGACACAACCTACTCTGCTGAGTGCAGCAGGGAAAACAAGGGGAGAAAGCTGGCTGAGGGCCTCAGCCCAGAATTCTACTTAGCCAATAACAAAGTGGTGGTGGTGGTGGGAGGGTGAGTGGGCAGAGACACAGCCAGGAAGGCAGCTGGCTACACACATTTAGTGAGACCATGGAGAACAAATGTAGCCTCCCTGACAGGAAGTCAGATCACAGCTGCAAAAAAGAAAAACAAAATATGTGAGATTTGGAGGAGGCTGTGGGCAATAGAAGGGACTTTTCTGAGTCAAAAATACATACTTGAATAGAATATTTTTTTTAAAAAAACTAGGGTTTAGTGTCACTTTAACTGAAGCTTAAGCGGAGTATAGGTTTTATTTTTTTCTTGTTTATGAACTGCTTAAAGAAAATAACTTTTGACATCCCATTACACCTTGCATTGTCTTTTTTTAATTTTAGACCCCAGATCATGTAACTGTACATCAAGAGCAGTTGCAGAGTAATAATTCTGGAATTATCTCAAAATCATTTGAGTTAACGGAGATTGCAAGGTAAGAGCGACACATCGATAGAAATTCATATTTAGAACTATAAATATATCTAAATAACAGGCACAAATTGGAGATTCCTATAAAATCCTCCCTTGGGTTTGCAGAGAGCCTTCAGTCCTGAGAGCAATGTCCAAATAGTCAGTGAAAGACACGCTGCACTAATGTAATATATAGCAGATATGCGCAGTTCGTTTCATTCCAAATCGAAAATTTGGACGAAATATTAGTTATTCAGATGTATAAACAAATTCAAAATAATGAAATTAAATTTGTCTGAAATAACAAATTATTCTAATTTGAATCAAAGTCGAATTGAATTTGAAATCGAAAATGAAATCTAATTCAAAAATGAATTTGAAATGTAAACATATTGCTTGCTGACTATTGCTGATTCTCTTCAAAGACTGTGTGTATTAGTGTAAATAAAAGAATCAATGCTGTGTTAAAGCTAAAGGGTATTCAAATATTGATTTGATTTAGACTTAGACTTTTAGCTCATTTGACATTTTGTAATTTGCTAATAAACAAGTAAATACAAATAAATAAATATATACATACTGTGTGTGTGTGTGTATATATATATATATATATATATAATATATATATATATATATATATACATATTGTGACAGTGTGGCGATCTGTCACCCTGGATTCTCAACAAGGCAGGTTGAGGGGCTCCAGGGTAAAGGTTTGATATGGAGGAAAGTGGCTTTTCACTTTCCTCCTTTGTTTGTAAGGTCCATTTTGGGATCTGGAGCCTGGAGATTTCGAAGCGATTTGGGAGGGATGAAATCTCCAATCCTGGGACCAGGTTTTGCGATAGGCCAGGAGACTGATTGCACAGGTGTGTGCAGGCCTTTAGAGAGAGTCAGGACCAGGGTTCTGGGCTCCACCCCGGCAGATGGAAGTCAGGAGGGTGCCACCTGGAAGACAGGAGTCAGGAGGGCTTCACCTAGGAGAGGTGGAAGCCAAAAGCAGCAAGGGGCTGCTAGAGACTAGCTGTGTGCTAGTGGCCAGCGGTGTGCAAGAGCCGTGTCTTGAAGAAGTCTGCAGGAGACAGACATCAAGCTGAGTATAAGCCAGGAGGCTGAATTGTTGTTTTTGTGATGGTGGATACCCCTGCGCGGGAAACTTTTATGTTACGGGACATTCTTTAAATAAAAGTGGGCTAAAAAGGCCTTAAAAAGAAAGCGAGTAGCTGTGTGCGTTTAAAAGCTCTACCACTTCGAAGCGAGTTCCCACAATATATACACACACAGTATGTGTATATACAGTATATATATAAGTATATACAGTATATACCGTATTTCGTACTCCATAAGACGCACCTGACCATAAGACGCACCTAGGTTTTAGAGGTGAAAAACAAGAAAAAAAAATTCTACTAATGGACTGCGGACACAGTACAGGAGATGACCAGAGACTGCGGACATAGTACAGGAGATGACCAGAGACTGTGGACACAGTACAAGAGATGACCAGAGACTGCGGACACAGTACAGGAGATGACCAGAGACTGCGGACACAGTACAGGAGATGACCAGAGACTGCGGACACAGTACATGGGATGACTAGAGACTGCGGACATAGTACAGATGACCAGAGACTGCGGACATAGTACAGATGACCACAGACTGTGAACATAGTACAGGGAAAATGCCAGGGACTGTGGACATAGTACAGATGACCAGAGACAGTGAACATAGTACAGGGAAAATGCCAGGGACTGCGAGTACAGATGACCAGAGACTGTAAACAGTACAGTGGATGACCAAGAGACTGCGGACCTTTGGGGAGGGAGGGGGAGCAGGTACCTGAAGTTGTCCTTTCTGTGTGGGCACGCTGGCTTCTTGCTGCGCCGGCTTCTGTGACAGCCGGGTGCCCACTGCTCATGCGCGAGAAGTGCTGCACTTCGTGAATGGCCCGGCGCCATTCACTGACATTTTCCCCCCTTTTTTGGGGGAAAAAAGTACGTCTTATGGAGCGAAAAATACGGTATATATAAAATACTATATTGCCAAAAGTATTGGAAAACCCTCCAAATCATTGGTGTATAAAATCTAGCTGCTAGGCATGCAGACTACCTCTACAAACATAAAGAATGGGTCGCTCTCAGGAGCTCAGTGACTCCAAGCGTGGTCCCGTGATAGGTTGCCACCTGTGCAATAAGTCCATCCGTGACATTTTCTGGCTACTAAATATTCCACGCTCAACTGTTAGTGGGATTATAACAAAGTGGAAGCAACTGGGAACAACAGCAACTCAGCCACCAAGTGGTAAATGACAGAGCGGGGTCAGCGCATGCTGAAGCGCACAGTGAGTAGAAGTTGCCAACTGTCTGCAGAGTCAATAGCTAAAGACCTCCAAACTTGGTGTGGCCTTCAGATTAGCACAACAGTGCATAGGGAGCTTTATGGGATGGGTTTCCATGGCTGAGCAGCTGCATCCAAACCTTACATCACCAAGTGCAATGCAAAGCGGCGGATGCAGTGGTGTAAAGCACGCCACCACCGGTCTCCAGAGCAGTGGAGAGATGTTCTTTGGAGTGAGGAATCACGCTTCTCTGGCAATCCGATGGACGTATCTGGGTTTGGCGGTTGATACTTGCCTGACTGCACTGTGCCAAGTGTAAAGTTTGGTAGAGGGCGGATTATGGTGTGGGGTTGTTTTTCAGGGGTTGGATTTGACCCCCTAGTTCCAGTGAAGGGAACTCATACAGCGTCAGCATACCAAGACATTTTGTACAATTTCATTATTTTAAATTATTTCTGCACACCTGCTTAAAATTTGTGCACAGTACTGTACACAGAGACAGCAAAATGTTGAAGTCAGATATTTCTTTTATAAAATTACAGAGATTAACAAGTCAAAAATCAAACTGTCAATTTTTCTGGTGAATGAATCATTTGTTTTAGGTCAACAAACAGTATATGCCTTATAACCTAGGACCCTTAAATTTTTTTGTTACTTTCAGTCCTTTTCCTAACCAATTCCTGTCCACCCATTGCCTATAGGGAAGCAGTACCGGTGCAGGCTACATACATCGGAAAATTTGGGCCTTCCTTAGGGGAGGCACAGCCAGGGGCAGCACAGCAAGAGGTAGCATTGGCAACTATCATCTTGGCTAAAGTGTTGATCTTGGATTAAGTGTTGCTCTTGGATTAAGTACTGAGCACTTCGGCTCTGCACTTCAGCGAATGCACAAAGCGAGAAGCCAACAACTTCAAATACTAAATAGACTACATGTGACATGTTTCCCCATCCAGCTCTTTCAGCTCTTGCCCAGTCTGCTTCTTCATCTCACCACTCTGTAGCATGAACTCCCAACTCCTCCTTCTCACAGCTGTATCCTCTCTTTTCAAACTCTCTCTCCTTCACCCCTCTTCTCCACCCCACAGCTTATATATATCACCCTTACTCCTGTCTTCACCCACAATCATTCTTGGTGACTTCAACATCCCTGTTAATGTTAACACTCCTGCTACCTATAAACTTCTGAGCCTAACCACTTCTTTTGACCTAAAACAATGGACGCATGCTTCTACTCACTATAATGGTAATTGCCTCGACCTTGTATTCTCCTACCTATGTACTCCTTGCAACCTCACCAACTTTCCTTTTCCTCTGTGATAACTCCCTTATTAGCTTCACTCTTTCCTTGGCTTCCTCCTCCTTGTCTTCCAACTACCAAACAGTTACCCGTAGAAACCTTCGCTTTCTTAACTCTTATCTTCTTTTTTCAGCAACAGATTGTCTCTATGACAAAATCTCAGCCCTGTCCTGCCCCAACCTGGCCACTTCTATATACAATAGTTCACTGTCATCCACCATGGACACATTGGCCCCCCTCACTACACAGAATTAGGCCCCGACTGCTACAGCCCTGGCAAACAGACAATACCAGACGCCTCAAAAATGTAGCCCTGCTCTTGAGCGTTTTGATGTAAAATTAGGACCCAGCAAGACTTCGACCAATATAAATCTGCCCTTCAAAAATACAATTTTTGTCTCCACACTGTCAAACAGACCTATTTTATCACTCTAACACCCTCTCACGCAATCCTTGTCAACTCTTTTTTACCTTTAACTTTCTACTTCGTCCTTCTTTATCTCCACCCACTAACTCACTCACTGCCCAGGAGATTGCTAATCACTTAAAAAATTAGATTGATACAATTCGTGACGAGATCGCCACTGTCCACCTACAAAATCTATGCTTCCCTTGTTTAACCCAGCTACTATAGAGGAGGTTGGTAAACTTTTTTCTAAAGCCTACCTATCCACCTTTCCCCTGGACCCTGTTCCTTCGCAAGTACTATAGTCACCCTCTGGTTCTATCCTTCACTGCCAGACTCATCCATCTTACCAACTGTTCAGTGTCTGTTACCCCCCCTCTCTGCCAATCCCTCCACTGGCTTCTGCTCACCCAATGAATAAAATTCAAAATACTAACAACAACTTACAAAGCTATCCACAACTCTGCCCCCATCTACATCACCAACCTGGTCTCAAAATATCAACCAAACCACTCTTTTCAATTCCCTTAAGACCTTCTGCTCTTTAGTTCACATGTCACCTCATCCCATGCTCACCTCCAGGACTTTTTCTGAGCTTCTCACATCCTATGGAACTCCCTACCCCAATCTGTCCGGCTATCTCCTAATCTATCCACCTTTAGACAATCTCTAAAAACCTTTCTCTTTAAAGAAGCCTATCCTGCTTCTAACTAGTAAACTGCCTTTTATTTCCTCCATCAGCTCATTCCCCACAGCTATTACCTTTTGTATCACTCAATTCTTCCTCCTAGATTGTAATCTCTGACGAACCAGGCCCTCTGTTTCCTCTTGTACCAAATTGTATTGTAACTGTAATGTCTACCTTCATTTTGTAAAGTGCTGCACAAACTGTTGGCGCTATATAAATCCTGTATTATGTAGCACACCCTTGGGTGTTACTTGGCTAGATATATAGGTTCAGCTCCCACCTGAATCTGATGACACCTCCGATTATACCCAGAACACTTCGACACTTTGAGAATATTTTTTATGGGCTTTATTGAAGAAGACAAACCCTGAAAAAGAACTAGCTGATTTAACACAGGTAATGTACATAAAACACAGATACCACTTTGCAATACACAGTTAGTAAGAAGTCACTATTCACTCCCCAGAGCCTCCAAGAAATTACACTGACTAGGATGGCATATGAGGGTGACATTGACACATGAAACAATAACTGTTAATGAGGTTTATCAGCTGATTGACATTTGCTGTAGCAGTACTATCTAAAGCAGAAATGTCCTACCTAAGCACTGGCCAGCGATATGAAGCCTAAAGTCTATCAACGTTGGGGCCTTTTAATCAATGGAAAAGCGCTCACTCTCTGAATGGGAGAGTATTTCTAATCCAGGGGTAGCAGGATAGCACAGTCTCCTTTAAGCAGAACCTTCCAGTGAACATTGCAATAGAAAAGAGAAAGAACAACACTTCAACAAAATCTTTACCATACAGGTGAATCTCCTGATGTATTGACACTTGATCAGTATATTTAGAGTAGCAAGCTTCTGTGGGGATTTCGAACTAAGGTGTCCGTTTATGAACCAGCGTTAAATGATCGCTGCTCAGTTCTCCTGCATTCTCGGAGAACACAGTTCTCCTGTGAATGCCGTTTATGAAGCGGTGTAGATCAGTTCTCGAAACGAAGGGAGAACGGTCTACAAACACTGGAAAATGGCTGATTTTACTATAATCTCGCGAGATTACAGTAAAAGATCAGTTTTACTAAGCAGAGGTAAAATATCTCTGCTTAGTTTGCGGTCCCTCCGATTCTCCAGCTCTGGGCTGGAGAATCTGAAGGGA